CTAGAGCAAGTTTTCTTGGGCTGATGTCTCCATCGTACCTCACACAATCTATTTAATGTTTCCAATTGCTTTCACTGGAAATGTTTAGAAAAGGCTTTCTTCACACTATTACTACTTGTAATCAATCTTTTCCCCATTGTAAATCTGTCTATACACTGGAGTCCAAATTGTACATACCTGATCTTTTTGTGTAGTACAGTCTATTGGCCATGTTCCAGGCTTTTTCCAGCTTGAGACGTTTGAATTAGACCTCCTGTAAATTGTTGGCAAATTAAATGGCTGATTAAATAGCTAGTATTTACTGTATGCTCAAAATTATTCATGCAGTGGCATGTGGTACCAGGAAACTTTTCCTTCTTCTCTTTTCTGCAAATATTTACTTTTTGCAGATTAATTTCTAAAGCCAAAAAAGCACAAACCAGTAGTAGGCAGCTGTTTTTCTTGCTACTCCCATGCCAATAGTTATACATGAACTATTTTTTTAATAACTTCATTGATGTTTTTCTCTCCATCACTGTTTTCTAGAGGTTGTTGCCTTTCAAGATAATTTAATATGACATGTTAATTTGAATTAGAAGAGAATTTTGAAAGCCTGTCCTGTAATGGACTGAACCTATGTTGCAACTGTAGGCATAGAGTTATTAAGAGGGGTCTATGATCAATGAAAATCATTAACTCTAATGGTGGAGCTTGGAGAATAAAAGCAAACAAGCAAGCAAAGAAAGAAAGAGAGAAAGTGTGAGACTGAGCAAGAGAAAGGGAGACATAGGTGCCAGGAAGTAGGGGTGGGACAGGCAATGTGGGAAATAGACAGAGAATGGAAAATGCTTCCCCGTGGCCAACCTAGAAGTGTGCAGAGTTGCCCAGATGGATGTCCTCCTCTTTCACTTCTAACATGGTAACTTGATAGTTTTCAAGTTACCATAGTTTCAAGATAGTTTCAAATAATCTTTGGATTTTTCTGCTATTGGTGCTGTTATTGCTGATGGCACCAATAAAACAATAAAGTTTAAAAGAAACTGTAAAGGTTAAGATGGAAAGTCAGCTGCAATGTGGTTGTATCCTCAGTATTTCTATGGCACCCAGATTGTATCAACTACAATTAGCTTTTGTGTGTGTGCATGGATGCTGATGCTGTATGTTGTTATTTAGCTCCTAAAGAGTAGTGGTGATGTAGCACATTATGATGTCCCTACAGATGCTCCTTTAATATAAGACATTGTTCTGTGTTATGGCTATAGGGATGGCATACTTAAACCTGGAATTTTACCTCCTGCCCGAGGTACACGTGCAGCCTGCAAGCATGGTTCATGTGATATGCAATCTATGTTTTACAACCCGCTCCTCACTAAAAAATGCAGCTGCAGCAGCAGCATCAAATCTTTACTCAGTATAGCATCTGAACAACTGTATTAAAACAAATTAAAATGCTTTTGCCACATAATACATTCTTCATTGCATTTCTCCTTGTTGTGCTTTAACCCAGAAGGTAACTAAAGAGTTGTGGGCCCATGTTCTACCACCACCCTTCCCCTGTGTCCCCTCCAACTTCTTGTGCCCCAGATTCCTTACTGGTGTGGCAGTGGGAAGACCTGCAAATTCCTTCAGCTAGTGTCAACACCACTTAGTAAAATCTAAAACATCAGTGTGTCATCAACATTATTCTTATCCTCAATCTATCATGCAGTACTATACCAAATAGGGCAAAAATTAACTCTGTTCCAAATAAAACCATTGCAATATCCACCCTTTATACTGTATCATTTATGTCATGCCCAGGTTCCACTCTTCCCAAGGCATCCTCCCTGTCTTTTGATACATACACAGAGATAACATTCCCTTAGTCTATGGGTCATCCCTCTGAAATGTTCACTGAGTAAAATTAGTCCATAGCTTCTGGCTTCTTCTGTCATAGTAGACCTTCAGAGCTGGAGAGATGGTGCATGGTATTGGATAATGTCCATGATAAGTCCATCCCTCATTCTAAATCCCATTTGTATGTTTCATCTCTTCTTCAATGGTCCAATGTGTCATAGGCCCACTGAGCTACCTATCTTCCTCTGCCTCTTCCCAGCTACCTTGTGATAGCCCTGCTTGGAGCTGATCCCTCTTAGAGGCAGCTTCTTTATCTCTTAATCAATATGTCCACTTCTGTTGCTGTTGAGACAGTCACAACACAGAAGAACACTATACAATTTCAGAAGGCTTCTCTCTTTATTATAACAGCATGCTGTCTTTTACACATTCCCAACAAAGTTTATACTTATTAATTGGTTACAATAAATCAACTCCGTGTTCATTGGTACAGAACAGTCTCTACCACTGTTTTCAACTAATGTCCAACTGCAGGTTTCTTTTATTTATCTTTTCCTTCTTGGTTTCCAAGTCAACAACCTTGGCAGAATTCTTTTCAGGGGTAAACACGACTCTTATCAACTTCTTCTTTAAATAACTCTTCCTAGCTCACACACCAGCTGTCAGCCCTTTCCACATGCTTCTGCTTCCAGTATTTCTCTTTGTCTACAAGCGTAGCTAATACTGGCATAGGTTGGCTCTCTGGTCCAGCCGTGGGCTCTGTCACTTTGCTCTGCTGAACAGAGCTCAGTCAGCCTGGACCAGGCCCCAGTACATTGCAGTGATTTCTGGCTCTCTGGAATTATCTGGTGACAGGTCATCTTTCCCAAATATTTTAATAAATTTTTCTGGATTCCTCACTTTTTCAGAGGTGAAGTTCCAAAACACTGGGAGATGCCCACTGTCCTAGGTATTTGCCCATCCTACTCCACATTCCCTGTCACTCATAACTATCCAGCCTCAGGGCAGATCCCTGGGTGATGTTCTTACCTAGTAAGAACCTGCGTAACCTTAGGCAAGACCTGAGACACATTAATGCATCACAGCAATGCAAAGGTGCTGGTTTGGACACCCTGGGGATACTTTCCAAGAGCTATTGTAACTCACCTGGAGGAGAAGGGAAGGATGGCAGAGAGCGTCATTCCCATGGATGGACCCTTGGAGGTGTAGTTATGTGTCATTCCCAGCAGGTAGCTCCTGCGGTGCAGACGCAGCAGCAATGCTTGGTGCACACACTGCCTCAGCCCTGCCAACAGGCATCTTACCATATCAAAAACCCATGTTACAAAGCACAACAACATCGTAACCTTAACCCAGAGCTGAGAAATGACACAATAGGGAACACACACAGCAAGTAAGGTGCTACCCAAGGCAACTCTGAGAACACACAACAACATTGTGATTAAATAAATCAACATTGTGGCCAGCAACTATTAAACCAATGCAACTAATTGCTTATAACAAATTTGTTTTAATATGTCGGAACAGTGGTTATCTTGACCCTTCACACCCATGGGTTGGGCGCCAAAATGGACTCTTGTGGTTTAATCCAGCAGGCAGCTAACACCATACAAACCACTTGCTCACTTCCCTGTCACCACCCCAGGATGAGTAAGAGAATTGGGGGAAAAAAATATTAAATTCACCCGTTGAGATAAAGACAGCTTAATAGGCCAGAAGCAGGAGGGGAAACAAAAATAACTACCATTAAAATTGGAATATACAGAAGAAGCAATGCACAATGTATCAGCTAGCCACCTGCTAGCTCATACACAGACAGTTCCCAAGACCCCCAGCCATCTTTATTTGCAGCTGATATTACTGAGCTTTACATTATATAGTATGGATATAGTATGGAATATCCCTCCAGTCAGTCATGGTCAGCTCTATCACCTGTGTCTCCTCCCAGCTACTCGTGTCTCCCAGCCTCCTCATTGGTGGTGTGACATGAGAAACAGAAAAAGTCCTTGTCTTAATGCTTAACACTTCATCCATCAGTCTGTTTCAACATTATTCTCATCCTAAATCTAAATCACAGCATTATGCCATATACCAGCATAAAAATTAACTCTATCCCACATAAAATTAGGACAATTGTGTACCCAAAGGACAATCTTACACCACACAATTTAGAAACTTCCCCACATTTGCAGACGGTTTGGGCAATAGACAAAGACTTGAGATTTCAAAGTAAAACATTGCTTTGTGACCAAGTATGTGTTTCAGTAAAGACTTTCTGTTGACCCAATACATTACCAGTGTATGGTGAGGGCTTAGAAAATGAAAAAGACTTTTCCTAAACCAAACACAGATAAATTATATAACCTTCTTTACATAGTGAACAACCTCCAGATAAGTAGCTTCTACTCTAGCAGTAGCTTCGTGATTTTAAGAAAACTTTGGCCAAAAAAAAAAAAAAAAAAAGTAAATGTAATTATTTTTAGGGGATTTTTATCATTTCAGTGGGATAAATAAAAATGCTACTCTCTCCTTTAAAAATGCAAGGCTCACCAATTAAAAAAAAAGGTTAGATAATATGAATAGAAAGGACTCACCAACAGGAGTGAAGGGTTAGAAATGCAAATAGGTAGATAAGGCCAACTGAATGTGCTAAATTTGATAATAAAACTTACATGTTACAAGGGCTTCATGGTAAAGAAATGTATCACATCCACTTTTAGCAGTTCACTCATATCACAAGCAGTACAAGTATTCCCATTGATGCAATGCAGGCAAAGCCCGTTTGATAGCTGGGCAAATGTTTAAGCAGTATGTTTGTTTTGAGCTCCCTGAAACAGAGGCTATGCTCCTATTTTTAGTATGTCTATATTACTATAAACCCAGTGTCTGCACGTAATTCAGCCCTGGAAGAATGACAGCTAACAAGAACAATAATAGTGACATAAAATATAGGAATAGAATACACAAAACTAGTGGCTAAAAATTTGCATACAGCTCTAGCCAGAAAAGCTTATAGTGGCATCATAGAGAAAGAGGCATTTAAAAGTTTGCTGCTACAATTTCCAACCCTCTTGTAATTCCAGGAACAGTTAGAACCATTGGAATGTTGATATAAATGAGAGTGTGTAGAGATCTAGAAGATTAGATCCACGTCAGACTTTTGTTTTATTCAGAGGTTTGGCTTCCTGCCCTCTGTTCAGGCAATAAATTGGCTGTAACAGAGCTGCTTCTAGCATTCTGTTCAGTAGAAGTATCCCAGCAGAGACAAAAACACACAAAATAAGGTAAGCAAGAATGGCAGATTACAGCAGGATTAAATAATTTAAGATTATGTTATCAGACTGTTTTTTGAAATTTTATGAGTGATTTTTTTAAGTTGACCGTAAAGTTTTCTTAAGAAATCTCTTTCTTCATCTAGTTTATGTTAATTTTTTGTATTCCTGTGTCTAGTTTAGATGATAGATTTTGTAAAGTGTTATTTGAAAGAGACTGTAACCTCATTTTTTTATTAGCTATAAGATGTCAAAAATTCTTTTTAATCCACTGTTAAATTGGAATAAACCTGGAGGAATTACTACCTCTACTAGCAGGCCTGACAGCTGTGACCCAATACACTCAACTAAAACAGTTCTGACCCTGTAAGGATCTTAGACATATCATGATTGGAATTTGTCAACATGGTATGAGATAATATTTGGAACACCATATGGATGATCTCCAAAATTCTAAATGTTGTTTTTATGTACTGAATTTGATTTAATTTAATTTTATGATCACACGTATCTTGAGGTAAATGAAAGAGAGAACAAACAAGATCCCAACAGGAGCAAGAGAAGCTATATAACAGGTTTTCTTTGCTGTCTTCATATCAATGAATTAATATAATCCATGTAGTATTAAAAGAAATCAAATTTCCTCTGCTTTTAGTATGATCTTGTTGTCATTGACCACACACATACTCATTAGTTTATTAGGAGTAGTTAGACTGCTGCTAGTTTCAGTTGTTTAAAGAACTTTAATTCCCTTGTACTTAGTTTGGATGCAAAATGAAACTAATCAGATCCAAGTTATGAAAACAGTGGTTGACATGTCTGCAGCCAAGAACAATATCCAAATCTTCTTAGTCCACTTCAATGTATACCTTACAGAAGAGAGAAAAGAACTGAAGAAATAGGTATGAAAGATATTAGGAAGCTATACACGGCATAAAAGACTATGACAAAGAATGAAAAATGGGGGCATAGGTGACATATGAGAACATGTAATGACAGGAAAGGTTTCTTGAAATGGGAGTATTTGTATGTCAGTCAGTATTAAGGAATATATGGCAATTCAAGGTGTGAAAGCTTGTTTTATTTATTGTAGGGAGTTTTAATTGTTCTGGAGAACAGCTAATTGGCTTCTGAGGAGCCAACAGAGGTGAAGTTCTACCACAACCTTTCTTATTTTCTACTTGTTTAAACAAGAAAGTAATTAAAATTTAGTACAGTCCTTCATAACATCAAGGTTACCTGTCCATAACTCATCATAGAAAGTTTCTTCAGAATTTATCCACTTCCTAAACATGTTTCTGAAAATGTATTTGGACTGGTCTGCCCTCTTCAGGAATTCTTCAGTCCTGACTTGTGAACATTCTCCTTTTTTTCTTACCGTTGTTAGTATTGCAGGTGCAAGACTCAACATAGATCAAAACCAGGAACTGGGATCTTCAGAAATTCTGATCAAGAGCTGTCAAACTAGAATTACACTTGTTTTTAGTAGCAAACTTGAGTAAGTGATTGTGTGGTTTTGGTCTCACAGACCCAGCAAAGTCCAAAAGCTTTGTTAATGAATGCCTAGAGACTTAGGTTCCTCCAGATCCACAAGGTGGCATTACTGTCCGCACACACCATAGAGCTCGATTCACGTGGAAGTTTCCAGAGACCAGTTTCCTAGTGAAAAAACACAAAGAATGTTTTCTTTCGTTAAGAATTCTCAGTGATAAAGCAGTCTCAGCCAAGATGAGGAAGACCCAGCCATTTCGTTCTACCTCTGACTGCAAGTTATAAGACTGAATGTTGTTATAACTAGAGTTGAAGAAAGTGAATAAGAGCCTTAGTTTTCCCTTTTAGTCTGGTAATAAGAGAACTGCCAGACAGAAGTTTTTAATTTCATGTAAAAATTTAATACGAAGCTTTGTGTCAGGGAAGTGAGCCAAACCAGAAAGCAGAACTGCCCTACTCTTTCTTGGGTGAATTTACAAACCATTACACTTGGGTCAGAGCCATAATCTTTCTGGTCTGACAGATATTTAATTATTCTGTGCAAAGCTGCATGGGCTAAAATTGTATCCATCTTCACTTGTTTCATTCACCAGGATACCAGACAGAATTAAAACTCATTGTTTTCTTTGGTCTGCACTTGCCATAAACACTTGTCATAATCACTTGTCATAAACAGGTGACTCCAGGAGAGCATGTAGACTTCGGAATTTCAGCTTCCCTTTCTTTAAACAAAAGTGATGTCCTTAGCTTTCCTGAAATGCAGTGGTTTAACTTGCTACTTTGGCATGCCTTAGTAGCTGCCTGGGTGGTTTCACCATCAAAGTAGTTCACATTCTTAGACATCAACCTCTCCTTCAGGTATCTAATCTGATATTCCTTAATAATTATAACATATTCCTCAAGTTTCCAAATTCAAGTCCTCATTTCTAAGGCAAGATTTCCTGAACCTTGGTTTAAGACTGCAATATACTTATGTGTACCTCTGAGAGTCAGATTATGCTGTTTTGAACTTAGCCTCATTTTCAATCACTTATGAATACAATTTTTTTTTCTTTGACAATTATCTTAGACTGTATCCACAAAATGAATGTGATTCTCCGATTCAGTTAGCAAAATGGAACTAGCTTCCTATGATTGACAAACAAAAACTGAAGCCACAAGCACTGCTTACATATTATCCAAGGGGAAGTCTTTCAAAATATATTTGTTCAACACAACTGTGTTATCCAAACGTGTCGGTGTGTGTCTTAGTGGAAGTTTAGGTAGTTAACTGATTTACCATCACTGGAAATGCAGCTTTTTTGCTTTGCAAGACAAAGGCTTGCAAGCAGTCAAACATTTTTTGTTTATCTACTTCTATTAACTGTCATTTATCAAAATTATATTTGAAAACTTGCTTCTCAATGGAAACACAAAGTCTTGTGACAAATTCTAACTCCTACTTTAGGACTCAAAAAGGAACTCAAGTGAGATCATTGTCAAAAGTATTTCTTCAGTGGCTCCACAATGCTGCTCCGCTCAGGCCGCAGAAAGCCATATAAAATGCCTCTCCGTAGAAAGCAGCCTGTGAAGAAGGAATTTCCACTTAGAAATATGAGAACAGCTTCTGGAAAGTCAGGTAACTTTTACCTGAGTGACAGATATGTTTGTAATCCTGAAAAGAATATTCCAGTCCAAGGCAAAATCCAACAAAATTAACCATGTGGAACAGCTTTTCTATAATGCTGTCAAATTTAAAATACTTGGTGAAAAATAGACCCCAAAAGCTACCTTTAGAATAACCAGAACAGAAATACTTTTAAAAATACTGACATTACATTTTTCACCCCACCCTGGTCAGACCAGTAATTCCTGATGTACAAATGTACCTGCCTGGAAAAGGGTGAATGATAAGCTGACCTGCCAACGATTCTAGTCTGGGCACTGTACTAGTTCTTGTAATTCTAGTTATAAGTAGAATTCTTACACTATAACTACTTCAATATAAAATTTTTAAAAGGTTTGCTGTATTGATTATTGTAGTTGTTCTGTTGCTTTTTAGAACAACCCATCTTTTTTTCTGGAAGCCTGATTGCCAGCTGCCTTTGGAGAGAAAACCTTTGTCCAACTATAAATCAGCTATGCATGCAATCAAAGGTCCAACACAGAACCTGCCACTTCTGGAGTGTGTGGTTCCAGCTGTCAGGATGTGCATCATCCTACTCTTTCTGCAGAGTTTCTGCTCAGCCTAAACAGGGTGGAAAGAAAGCTTCTTGGAAACAATGCAATTTTTTCAAAATATCTGCCTAAATACAAATGTTTCAGAGGAGGTATCTCATCATAAAATAAGTAAAGAAGTTTTTGGTGAAGTCAAACATTCCTCAAACATTATGCTACTGCTGACGCATTCTGTGTATCCTGGTGTTTCATTTGCCTAATTATTCTGGCAAATACAGGTTTTTTTATCTCACAATATACCCTGGAGGTGTTTGTCATCTCCGAAACGCTTAACTGCATTTCAAAGTATCAAATCTCTTCCAGTAAAATAATGTGCAGCTGAACATAATCAAAATTGTGACTTGTAGTGTTATTCTGTGGGTGTCTGATATCCAAGTGTCTGGACATACATCCTTCCAACATCCAGAACAACACAGTTGTGTTTAGGAATGAAAGGGAAAAATTTATCTCTTGGAAGATTTTAGCTTGAAGGGCCTGGGTGTGTTGGTTTGTTTTTTGGTTTCTTTTTCAGGATGAGTTGTCCAATTCCCAAACTAAATGCTGCTATTTTAGCTAGCCATAAGCACTCTAACCTAAAAGTCTTATTTATACCAGATTCAATATTCAAAATGCAAAGCTGGGAAACAGACAAGTACTTACCTACTCAACTGGTCTATAAACAGTATGCTGCAGAGAAACATGCCCTACTTGATCTCTTCTTTTCTTCAGAAAGAAACTTACAACTTTATTTTTCACATCTCTCCACTCAAAGATTTCTGTGAACAGCCTTGCTTTGGCTCAGGCTTCCCACAGAACTCCATTGGCTACGCTAAGTCTACTCATTCACCAGCCAACTGCAAATGTGGACCTACTCACCCACTTTCAAATTCATCCTGTCCCCATTAATCTTTATTCTCTTTCAACATACCTGTCTGCATGCTGTTCACCATCCCTCTTTCTTACACTATTCCTCAGGCTGTTGACTTGAAAGCTATTTTGTCAAACTCAAGCTTTCCTATGTTATTTCTCTAAAAGGTTGAGATACATATTTTCTGGTCACTGACATAACCTTCTAAGCAAAGAAATGTTTATTTATCCTTCTTCACACCAATACCAAGCCCTCAAAAAACGCTGCTTAAGCCCACTGGATAATTTCTAGTATATGTTGGCTATACTGCTCATAGTTCAAATATACATAGATTATCAAGTAAAGATTGTTAAAAAATGCACTTGATCTTTTTCTAATGGAATGTTGTAATTTCTCAGTTGATAATAAAATTAATTATAACTCACTTTTTATTAGCGTTTAGCCTGAGAAAAACATTGAAATGTTATATACTAACTGAAGATTCAAAAACAGTGCATTTTGATATAGATGAAGATGGTCATCATGAAATATCTACCAAGGATTCACAATCCCATGAAGGTAATGTTCCTGACATACCAAAACTCATCAACTCCATGTATAGTACTCAGGAAATTTTCAAATGTACTATTATGTGTCATGTGTCCCTGAGTCCCTCTCTCCAAGAAAGACATTGAGGGGCTGGAGAATGTCCAGAGAAGGAAAATGGAGCTGGGGAAGGGTTTGGAGCGCCAGACCTGTGAGGAGCAGGGGAGGGAGCTGGGGGTGTTTAGCCTGGAGGAAAAAAGGCTCAGGAGAAGCCTTATCCCTACAGCTGCCAAACAGGAGGGAGTATCCAGGTGTGGGTCGGTCCCTTCTCGCAGGTAACAAGAGGCTGGATGAGGGGAAATGGCCTCTGGTTATGCCAGGGGAAATTTAGATTAAACAATAGGAAAAATGTCTCTGTTGCAAGCGCTGCCAAGCTTTGGAAGAGGGCACCCAGGGAAGTGTTTTTGTCTCCACCCCTGTAGGGATTTAGGTGTTTGGGTGCCGTGAATAGGAACATGGTGTGCTTGGCAGTGTCAGATTATGGTTGTACTCAATGATCATAAAGGTCTTTTCCAATCTAAAGATGTTGTGATCCTGTTCTCTGTAGACATAAAATATATTGGATCTGTAGGAATATGGATAATGACACAAGAAAACTTTTATCCTGGTTTGCAGTAGGCATGTTATATATTTAAATGAAAAGATTATATTGTTCATGCTCATTTGACTTAGTGGGAAGTCTAGACATTTAGCTCAAAAGGGAGACAAAGGAAAGACAACACTCAAGAACAAATGCAAAATGCAAGAACAAAGGCAAAATGGAGACTAGGGTACACTTTGGAATTTAGGATTTTGGATTGGGGTTATTTTGTTTTTAATTGAACTCTTTTGTCTCAAATGTGGCTTCAATATTTGACACCTAAGATACTATCATAACTATCATCATGCAAAGACTTGTTAGAGGACATAATTTCAATAGAGAAAAGTTAAATAGTATCAAATGCAATTATTCGAGAATGATGCAATTATTCTAGAATGGTACCATTTCCAGATATGTGAAAGTAGGAAAAAAAATGCAATAAAATATGTCTTTAACCAAAATAGAGGAAAAATTTCAGATCTTTAAGCTAGCTATTGAATTACTAAAACTTTCATTCAATTAAATTGAGAATAACGACAGATACACTGACAGGGTACTTAAGTGTCTTTCATATATTTTTCAGTATCTTTTCCTTGACAACTCCATCAAATTTTGGAGTCACTTAGACAATCATTATTGTTAATCTATGAACAGAACCAAAACCTGTGTAGGTGTACAATGGAAGCAGTTTGTGAACAGATACAGAGTGTGACAAGCCTGATGTAGAAGATACTAATATTCCAAGAACACAAAAACAAAACCAAACCAAACCAAAACAAAAAAACCCCAAAACAACAAAAAAATGAAATGCTGTGTAATATTATTTTGCACATAGGCACCAAATACATATATTCATGATGCAGTTAAGACAACATAATAGTAACAAGTTGTAATGAGGATGTTTGGGACATTTTTACCAGAAGTGGGTGGTGTTTTCCCTGGCTCACTGGCTGTGTGATTCAGGCTGATGTGAGAAAAGCCAGAAACAATCTGCTATTGTTACCTGTTGCCTTCCAACCCAAACATTTCATATTAAGGTACCCACTTTCACTGCCAAAGCACTTCAGGCCCCTCTTTAATAGCACACTAGGCTTTACAGCTGGTCACCAACCTCTTGTTTCTTAGGTGCAATCTCTGTTGCAAAAGATAATTAAGAAATCAATACACTTTTTAGGCTCGGTGTTCAGACTTCAGTGTACCTGTTCACGAGTCTAACTGTACAGCCTTACAGGGTTAAATGGATTCAGAGACCCTCAAGAAAAGAAATCTGATATCTATTACATGCTTCTTCTCAGATTATGTTTCAAAACAATTCATGAAACTGTTTGTATTATTTTTAAATCTGAGAAATGTAGCTCTCTAATTCCACATATTTGTTAAATACCTTCTATTTTAGATATTGCGTGGTTAAGCGTGTTCACAAGGAAGGAAGCAGCAGTTACTGGTAAGTCTCTTGTGGGAAAAAAAGGTATCATCTCTTTGTTTGGGTCTGGTTTTGAAGATACATTTGAGTGTAGGAAAAGAAGGTAGTAGTGTTTTACACATAGACTTGCCATTAGAAGTAACATATTGTATCAGATTTTTCACTTAGCTCAGGTTATTGGACAGGTCTAAAAATAAAAAAGCTTTCTGTGTTCCATAAGAAGAAATCTTCAAAGTTACAAAATTTGTAAATTAGGAGTAGTGGTTGGGACTGAAACAAATGTATGTAAGGGAATGTATTGTATGCAAACTGAAACATACAATTTTCTTGTAGAAAAGTCTGGGTGCTCCATTGTTGGTGTAGGAGTCCTAAAGTGAAGATCTGTTTTAGCAGGAGAGGAAAACCAAATAGAAATTAATATGAAGAAAGAGGAGGTGTGCTTTCAGAACTTTCATATTGTGCAGTTACAAAATTATTGAGAAAATCAAAGATATATTAGTTTAGGTATTACAGTGGAAGAAAAATGCACTCTAATTCCAATCATCAAGAGCTCCTGTAACCAATAAGAACAAATCTGGTTCAGTACTGCACCTTGAAGAAGGGACAAATGAGGATTTCTAAGGAACAATATAAAAATACTGATATCGTCCCAAATCCCAAAGCTTTACATTTTAGGGATATCCCTAAGCAAGAAGGTTTTGTAATAATTTAATTTCAAGGCATTTTCTTTGCATGGATTTTTAAATTGCCCTTTAGACTTTAGGTAAGGTTTTAGTGACCATAGAGACAAGGTAATTAATACAAAAGCCATCAGAGAGTGGAAGTATAATTGATATATAATCACAGAAAGGTTCCTTATTTTCCTTGTCATTCTCTGGCTGCTTGATGGACCACTTGTCACATCTTTTAGAGGTGATAGAGAAAGCTGGGCTCCTTTGGACTTACTCAGAAAAAACAACGTATAACCTAGTCACAATAAACTCTAGATGTAGAAAGACAAGGATAGTTAGGAAATAAGTCATGTTGATGGATGTCCCTGGTCAACTGGATGGATTCCTGCATACCTCTTTTGTTGTCAATCTTACCTTCAAGAGAGAGCACTCTTGACTTGGATAAGAAACCTCTCTTGCCTGTTGGTGTGTCTCTTAAATGCTACAACTGAAATTGGACAATTGCAGCTGAGGCAACTTAAGGTGATGTCACAAAAACTAATAAAAATTTACAGAATTGTAGACCTGCTATAGTAGCCTACTATGTTTATCTAAATATTCATTTTAACTGAATAAAGTATAGTCAGTTTGAGTTTTTCTCAGTTTTTAACAGGGATTTTTAGACTCTTTTCATGCTATAGCTGTCTCAGAAAAATTCCTTCAGAAGAATAATACAAAAGCATTACAGTTAAGAAAAGTTAAGGCAGCTAAAATCAGGACCAAAAGCAGGTAAAATTAGTCAAGTGAGATGAATATGTTCTGCTAATTCTGAATATTCTTCAAAGGCTAAAACAATGCCTTTGGTAATACATAAAAAACCTCCAAACTCTGTAATTGCAAATGGTGATGCATAATAATCTAATGTCTTTTAAATTTGTATTCAGCTGCTGCAGCTAAAAATATAGATCAAATGCCACTTTCTTTTGTATTTTTTGCCTTAAATGGAACACTTGTCATACTTCTAAAAGCACAAGTGGTGTTTTTTGAAGTAAGTTTGCAAGTCAGTCAGATAAGTATAGCATCACTGAGCAGTCATTATATGTAATGGGTTTTTTTAAGGTAATGCTCTTGTGTGCTGTATCAGTTGGCAAAGGGTACTTCAATTTATTTACTTTTTGCTGATGTCAGAAGGTAACAATGAACATTGTCAGTTTAGCAGGCTGAAGAATGTCCCATATTATTGATATCATCTTACTTCCTGCAGCTGAAAAAACAGTATTAGCTCAAAAATGGAATTAATCCAATGCATCCACAATTATAATAGTAGAAAGATTTTTACCTAGAAACATGCAGAAAGTAGAAGGGAAAAAATGCTACATTTTCCATATTGACGTACACATTAAACAGGTTTATTACACATATGAGTTATCTACCACTACATAGGCCTTTGTAGTTCACATGACATGTAGTAATGAATAACTGATATTTCATACATTGAGCATAAAAGTAGAGAAATAAACTATATATATAGCAAATTTAAAGTCTCACAAAGTCACAGGCTTTAAATACTTTAGACATGAGAAAGGTACCAAGAGTGATTGTATTTATTTCTATTCCCATGCCTATAAACGATGTTTTCTCTTTGTAGAGAATATTCAGCTCTTCTTTATTTTATAAAGTGATACTCATATTATTACAATATTCTCCTTTGTGTAAAACAGATTCTAAAAATTTGGTGAGCCTCACACAGAGATCAAAGCTTAATGAATTTGTCCTGTTGTGCAAGGGTAAGAAGCATCTCTCTCTGAAGGTAAGGAATTTTTATTTTATTTATCATGTTTATTTTCTTTATCATGTGTGGGTGCTCTGTCTTAGTATAAGACAATTTCCCCCACAGAACTTTTCAAATTCATTTTTCTTACCACCTTCCATATTTCATAACTTCTCAGTATGTCCCTTTATTCTTTTTTTGGGAAATAGTCAGAGAAGATTATTGTAAAAGCTTTTGGGTTGGGTAGTTGACTGCTGCCACTAGAAGATAGTCAGGGATGCTGGGGTCAAGTCTCTGTGGAGGAAGAGTGATCTTCTTAGCCAGAAAACATGCAGGAAAATAAGAGGGGAGTAAAATCTAGAAATCTTGCCTTGGAAAAATATGAGTTTAAGATGGAAATTATTTTATGCCAATGAACACGCATCACAGGACAAGGAATGTGGTGAAGAGAAAACACAGCTGAACACCCAGTTTCAAACATTTGCCATCTGGTGTCTAGGCACTCCCATTTTCTTCAGTCTTGTGAAGGTTTGTTTCTGATAGGAAGGAAAGGCAAGGCTAGTCTTCCCAGAGAAGGATTATAACCATTGCTAAAATCTGTCTGAGGAAGAATGCCGTGTTGCAATTTACTGTCTAAAGCAGAGCAAAGGTCCAAGAAGTTCTGTTTAGACAGGTATGTTGAGATAAAGAACAACCCTTCGCCTAATGTCAGTCATGCATGATGATGTAAAACACCAAATGCTTCCTCAAAAAGTCTTGGATGTTTTTCATTTGTTTTTAACTCACAAATGACTCTCCATAAAATCTATTTCCCGAATTCTTCTAGGGAAATGTATATTGTAAAATATATAAATTATATTTTTATCCTGTTACTCACAGAAAGGGATTTTCCTTTCTGTCCCTGAAACAGCAACTATTTTTAAAGGATTTTTCTGGTTCAGAGGTTGCCTTCTCATAAATCAATTGTTTGAAGGGTGTTCCACAGAATCAAGGGAAGAACAGAGTGTTGAGCCTTAATGGATTTTACTTTTTAATGAACTATTTTAAAATTCCAGGTCATATCAGATTATGTTTCTTGACATAACTGAAGATTAAGTAAGACATACTCGGTGTCTACCAAATACATAAAAACCTTGGAAAGTTGACAAACCTTTATTTTTCCAGCACAATACAAATAATTTCCTTAGTCTCAACAGGGATTCTGGTATGGAACAGGACAAGATTTCTTATCTGGAAAACGTTTTGGTGTCCTGGTAAATTATGGCTCAATCAGGGCTGCATTTCTAAATAGGACCTGGGCACTGACCAGTCTGACAGACTGTCTTGAGTATTTGCTTTCAACTCAATTCATTTTGCATTGCAAATGGTGAAGGGGGAATATATTAATGGAATTTTTTCAATAATTTATCAATTTATTAATTTGGGATTACTTGAATGTAATAATCAAAGATCTTCCCAAAAAATATAATTTTCTTTAGAATTAATGACACATTTGATGGGTTTGAAAAAAAAATATGATGAAGAAATTACCAAATTAAATTACAAAATTAACAAATCTGTGTGTTGTAAACACAGGTCTTAAAAGCATCCTGTTCAGAGCCAGATGGTCCTTTAGTGGAGAGATGTAATATGAAAACTTGCAGCCATGAAGATCCTGACTTTAAACAGGTATACAATCATGATCAAACAAATAAAAACCTGTGTGTGAAACTGTGTATGCAAATATAGACGTGTAAAAAGGGCAGCTAAATTAATCCTGTTACTTATTAAGTGACAAACTGCTTACTTTTCTCTCAGCTGATTTTTTGGTTTTTTTCTCAGAAAAGGGAAAATACAAAATTTTCCCTTGACTTGTATTTATGACTATATCCTTCAAACTCCAGGCAAAATATCTGACTTTCAATTAAAACATGAAAGGCAGATATGTTTCCTATATTACTATGCTTATACAAAATGGAGGGAGACATCAAGTAGATTTTATCTGGTACAAATTCTTTGGCAAGATGCCAAAAAAAAAAAAAATCTGGGTGAGTGTATTAGCAGACAGGATCTAGAAGACCTAGAAGGATCAGATTACAAAATTTATGACGTTTTAAGAACTAATGAATCCATTAGTAATAAACTTCTGGGAAGTAATAAAACCCTGTAATTTTCAGGGTTTTTTCAGATGAATCAGAAATTCATCTGATTAATTTCATATCATCAGATGATTATAAATCAGGAATAATGAGTTGTGGACAGAAATACAGATGACTGGGTGGTTTCTTCACATGTTTTTTTTTTTTATAAAAGCTTAGTTTTGTTGACTCTTCTCTAATACGAATGATAAAACATAGTAGGCTCATGAAGGAAATCAGTTGCTCTTTGGGATACCTAAACTTTAGGATAATAGACATTATAATGAGAAAATGCATAACTAAGGAAATATAACTAATAATGGTTTTTGTTAGCATTGTAACCCTGTGGCTTTATTATTCAACTGAAAAGTCAATCTTTCCAATTACAATAGGCAAAATTAGAGCTATCTGGACTCAGGTAGATTCAGAACTCCATAAGAGGAACTCTGAAACCCTGAAAACCTGAAATTCCCAGCCTAAAATTTCTAAAATGCTGACCTTTCTACTAAGTCAGAAAGCCTTGAATTACCAGTTCTGATAAAGTGACATCTATCTGAAATGGTTTTCAAAAGGTATGAGCTACACTACCAATAGTTAGTGAAAAAATCTGCTGCATTCTGGACCTTTAAAATTTAAGTGGGTCCTTCAGTTTAAGTTCTGCTGACTTACTCATTTGCCACTAATATTCTCTGGCTCCCCACAGAAGGAGAAAGCAGCAAAACTTAGGAAATTTTTAATGCAACTTTAGTCCCCCCCTTGCATGCTGTAAATGATCACAGTCATATTGACTTTCGCAAATTTTATTTAATACACTAATACAATTTTTTATTTCATACTTTTTTAAAACATAAAAATACATGCCTTTTCTGTGGAGCTGTTCACAGAGGCTTGGTGTCTTTATGCCAGCAAGTTTTGGGAGACATCTAGAAAGAGCTGTAACAATTGTCTGTAAAGACCTATATATCAATTTGGGTTTTTAAACATAGTTAAAATGAAAACTTCTTTCTGGAAACCCATTCATTACCTAGTAAGACAGATAGTGATTGCTCATCATGGTTTCTAGCTGATACCCTGAAACAGAAGAAAAAAATATCACTCATTTGTACGAGGAGAAATCAGAAGCCTGCGCTTGAACCACATCCAGTTGGGTAAAGAGGCAAAATCATAGGCAACTCTGAATCATGAGATTCTTAGTAAACCATCTAAAATAAGTGTACCGATCAGTAAATAATTCCTAGTATGACAAATAATGCCTGCATTGTCCTTAGGATGAGAAAGTGTGGGAGTAGTGCACTGAGATGGAGAAATACTTCTCATGGACAATGACAAAGCTATGCAGGGATGCAACTTGATATTTAATCTGCTAGCTTTGAACAGTAAATCTTAAAACCAGGCATTTTTTTTTCTATTTGAAGAGTGCCAGTAGAATGAGTAGAAACATGAGAATCTGTAGACCCTATTGTTATACCAGGAAGAGTTGTATATAGTGTTGTAAACATTCATTTCTGTAATCAAGGCTATTGAAACATTGACACATGATTCACAATCAATATTAAGTGAAACATCTTTTATTAAATTTAATTTAAAATATTGATTAGGTTGTCATAACAATAAAATAATTCTTTAAAATTACAGCAAGTAATATTTTGCAATAACATCTGATTCTGATTGGGGATTAAGTGAGAAAAGCAACACAGGTGGCAACCAATATTTATTGCAGTGCTGTTGTGGTAGGAATGGCAAACTGCACTGTAGACACAGCTATGGCTTCACACAGTTCACACAGTGGCAGCATCCCAGCCAGAGCAGTAGTGGAGAAGCCAGCCCTATCAGCTCACTCAGGGGCATTTACTTATAACCATGATTATTCTAACTCTGTAATGAGCATGCTTATGTAAGACCATGCTTGTCATAATTAATAATATCATAGAAAAAGAAAGCAGTTAACTACACAACAGAATGATCTCAGAGCTACAGAACAGTATTTCACTTTAGATTCTCCACTTAAAAGGTTTTCCCAGCTCCCCCACCCATTCCTCATAATTCTCCCAGTAGGTAAGCCAGCTCCCATTTTGCCATTTGCATTAAATATGTGTAAATTTTTTGCTATTTCTCTTTTTTACTCTTCCAGAAATGCAGAAATTAGTGAGGAAAAAATGGTTATCAAAGAAGTGCACATCTTCTTCAGTACACATCTCTAGTATCTCATTTTAGTGTAACTTCTGTTCTGGTTCAACAATAATATTTTATGTATTCTTCCCCATTACTACCCTCAGACTTTTGATGATGCATTCATTACCCTCTCAGCTTTTCTGAAGTATTACTAGCACTCAATTTTCCCTCCATTTCAAATCTTCATGAATTAACATATTTGCTTAAAAGAATACTAAAGGATAGGATTCAACAATTTCAATTGCTGGATCAGGCTGCTTGTCTTCAGGTTGTTGTTCTTTGCTGGATAATGCAAGGTTATTAGATCATTGTATCTGGACAGCATTTCCTAAAGTTTTGACTGGAATATCCCAGAATGGGTGGACTGGGACCTAAAAGACAGCAGCTGTGGAAGTTCTATTAAGAGCTGTAACAGTTTTTATTCCACAGTTCCTCTCTGTTTTACTGAGTAGTTTGATAAAGACAAGTAAGAAAATAAGAGATTATACCAGAGGCTATGCAGTCATGAAAGTCTTTATCAAGAGACTTACTATTTACTCCAGTTAAGTAGGCCAAAATAATCTCCAAACATTAAATCTGGCAAGGCCCACCAAGATACCTTGGTTCTGAAGTTTTGACCTTGTAAGTACTGACAATGCCATGTTTACTGTGCTTGGCAGCAGGCTGACAGAGCACAGTCCTTTTTGGCACCCAGCATGCAGCTTGAGATTTCTGGGATTTTTGCTCCAAAAGTTGATTCATCTATTGAAAAGCCAAGGAGTGATCAGCAAGCCTTACTCACCCTTCAGTAGTCACATTATGGCCAGTGTAGAAGTCTGATGGAAGTTGAAAGTGGACTGTTCTGGGCTCAGCAAAGTCATGCCACCATTGGGCTGCTGTATCAGAGACCCTGCACCTTCACTATGAATGGAATTAAAGGTGGCAGAGTGAATGCTACAGCTGATATTGCCAAAGCATTTTTCTTGATCAATTTGGCAGCAGTGTGCAGGCCAAAGTTTACTTCCAGGAGAGGAATGTCTGGTGCACCTGGAGCTGACTGACCCAGGGCTGGAAGCACAGCCCTACTATTTGTCAGGAAGGATCAGCTGTGGTAAAAAAAATAGACTGAGGTGTGTTGCTCCAGCCAGCATCCAAGTCCCTGCCCCAGATATTCATGCAGACCCACTCCCTGCCAGTGGACAGGGGAGAGAATATGCGAGAAACGACACCTCACTTCTTAAAATTTCAAAAGGTTTGTTGACCCACAACAAGGGCCTGAATAAGGAAAAAGGGACCGCACTGGGTGCCTAGGTGCAGCCAGCCGCACACTGCCCACACCCGCAATAATCCTTATACATGCTACTGACAAGCCAACCCCCTGGTAAGCCAACCCTCTCCACGCTCCTGCATGTGTCACTCTTCCAACCCAGCTCCTCCTTTGTCCCGCCTTTTGGAGTCTGTGCAGCTCTTCTTGCTTCAACTTTCCCAATGGTCAGAGATCAACTTTCAGCATTACAAAACTTATAAGAAAAAACACCAGATCTTAACAGAATTTATTTTAACTTTATAACATACATTTAGCATTCATGAGAGCCAATACCATACTGTGTGTTTATTACAGAATAGCAAAGGCAAAAGGAAGAAAATTTTTGAGTTAAGAAAAAAACCTCAAAAGTAAAACATATGAAGGTCAGAAAAAACCACAAGTCATGCAAAAGCACTTACTCATCTCCTCCCCTGACGAAAGCTGAGCCAGGCTCTGAGCAGTAGTCTTCTCAGAAGCAGACACCTATCCCCTCAACTCCACATTTTCCATCCTCTACACCAGGCTTTATGACTGGCCATGGCATGCAATTGAGGTGGCAGCTCAGTTTTGCTGGTTTGCTTACCATCATTGCAGGACTTATGTCTCTTTGATCATGTGATCTTTGATTCCTTGCTTTATCTGAGGCAAAATGTAGATTGCAGTGTGCCCTACACTCCTTTGCGTAAAGAGTCATGACAACATGAGATGTTCTGTTTCAGCTGGCCTTCAAATCCATTCTTTTTTATCTTCTAGTTTCTTCCTAAGTTAGAGTGCAGCATTTGAGCCTAGCTTGGAATAACGCTCATTGTACCATATTCAATCTGACTTTATATAATTTTGAATCTATTTGTTTTAAAACTTGTATACTACTCTCTCATATCTTTTTCTGTAATTCCCATCACTGACATGTTTTGCTTTAGCCTGTGAAGACAATTTGTAGCATTTTGCCAACATGAGCATATGTGTTCTTTTTCAAATGCATTGTGAATCACCTGTGGGACATGAATAAAGGTGAAATTTTTGTCATTAAGTATAAAACCTAAGCTGTAAATTGGTTCTTCATTAAATGAAATGGAAAGCAAAATATCAGATTGTAACTAAAAATCAGTAGCTTTTTTCTTGGAACTCGCAAATTGTCTTGATTCCTACTGTGGAAACTGTCCTCAGGAGGAACATTATCTGGCAGCAATCTACCACATTCTCAATTTTCTCATCATTCTTCTTTATAGGTCATAATAGAAAATCGTCTCTGCCATGATTTCTTGCAAAACAGTTTGCTCTTTCCAATACCTGCTGGATCTCCCAGCCCTAATGGTGTTCCATTATGCTTTTATTTTGAGTTCTTCTTCCTTCTCCTAGTCAAGTAGTGTCTCTATTCTCCAAATAATTTTCCTCTTACAGATTTCCTCCTAATTTTCCATCATTTAATGCAGGTACAGTAGGTATTTTTAAATTTCTGGATCTCAATCTGCCTTTGTGAGCATGTAAATTTTGCTTTACAAAACCCCTTTGGAATCTCCCTTGCTCTAGCATGAATTTCTGCATTGTACATATGAATCTCTCTCCTTGCTTCTACTGATTTTCTTTCAACAAACATTCTTATTCCTTTTATGTTTGCTTTTTACCATTCTGAGTCCCTAGAAGGTATTTGTTTCCCAAAGAAACAAATGCTATTAAGTAGTAATAGTACTTAATACTACTTAAGTTGAAGAAAATTTTTCTTCAACTTTCTTAATAGTATTTTTTCAAATTTTCTTCAACTTTCTTAATAGTATTTTTTAAAACTTTAATTTTTTTTGATTGAAGCTGCAGGACAGAATGTTGTAGATGCTTCCCATTATAGCTTTGCTGATAACAGAAGGTGTACTCCCCAAGTTTCCTTAAGGTACTCTCGAATAACTGCAGGACATTTTCTTTCCATCTCCTATTGTCATATGGGCTAAAAGGACACATTGCTCCTTCTGTCAAAAGGTGGTTATTGCCAACGCTGTAATCTCCAGCAAGCTGGTACCCTTAAATGCGCGCCTGCTTTTCTTCAAGCGTTCAGTATTACTGCAAAGTAATCTCTGTAAAGTTTCCTTTTAGAAGTTCCCTTAAGCAATGATAATGCACTGGACTAGTCAGAGTTACAGAACTGGGCAGAATATGGGCAGACTTGTAGAACATGGGCAGGACAAGAGTGTTCAACAAGGTCGCTCAAAAGGAAAGTTAAAATAAGTTGATTACAACACGTTCAGTCTTTCCCAAAAGGTACTCTAAATTCCCTGCTCTCTGGCAGGAAGCTGAGTTGGGGGAAACACAAATCTTAATCTTCTATTAATTAATAATATTCCACTATTAGCATCAGGTAACTATTTACACAGTGTTCACAGTTACTCCTTCGCTCAGTGCACTCAGCAGGAGCAGGGGCTCATACCCCCACCCCAGCAGTTCCAGGCGGCTGTGCACAGTCACACCCAGGGGTCCTGGTTTCAGCAGCAGCGTTCACACACACTGCCCTGTGATCTCTGTTTGGATGTGATGTGGATTACACGACCTGTGGTAGGTGCTGGAGGAGTGCTGGAGACCACGGGTAGGTTCAGCAGCCCTGTGGTGCCCCAAGCTTAACAGTTTCTGCAGATTTCAGCACATGCTCTTCCTCTCTCTGACGTGACATTTTTTTGTAACTATTTCTCCACCCCTACTCTGAGGTGCCCAGTCAACCCAAACACACACACACACACACACACAGAGTAGCCCTTTAGACAATAGCTATTGCTCCAGAGATGGATCTTTTAAAAAAGTGCATGGATCTTTTAAAAAAGTGAAACTGGAGATATACAGAAAAGCCACAGGTAATAGAGTTTAAGATGTTTAAGAGTAGTTTCTACTGTAATGTTCTAATTTTACTTCAAAAGAGGCAAGAAAAACTGTAGATTGAAATTTTACTGCTAGTGGCAGTTGGCAGGGTAGGCCTAAGGTGAGAAAATAACCCGATGGAAGATGTAAGTTATCATAAACACACTGAGGAGACTGTGCTGGTGTTTTTGTGAACCATAGGAATGCATCTATTAGTCTGGTATTACTCAGCCCTTTCAGGGACGTGGGTACTGTTTTTATTCATAGTTATCACAGAATCTATCCCAAAATTATTAGTCGTTGCCAAAGGTTTATTTAAAAATTGGTAAATATGGGTCACTGGAGAAAAGTATAACAACCATAAAATATAACAAACCAACAACATACATGAATTTTTGTCACATTTGACATTATAGAATGGCATTAGAAATACAAGGTGTTTTTTTACTTTGTGTATTTTCATAGGTGAGTGAAGATAATAGCTTTTTCATCATGCATTACCAAGGAGATTCAGTGCAGTTCCAATGCTACGAAGACAGAAGTTACTATCTATGTGTGAACGATGACTCACTTGACATTCGCAAGGTGGAAAACAAAGAGCCCAATGAGGACAAAAATTTCTACTTCAGGGTGTCATACTTACAGGAAAAGTAACTTGTCTACCTTTCAGTGGCCTAAGTGCCCATAGAGCTCCTATGAAGATGAGGAAGTTCGAGATCAACTAATTATGTTTTGAGCTAAATTTTTACATTTTCATAATTTCTAAGTCACCTTTATTTTAAAAATAATAATAATTTCTAAAACATCCTTTATTTCTGCACATTCAATAGCAAAAGAGGAAGGCCAAGTTTGAAAAACATACTAACTGATCAGTCTCTAAGACTGATCAGTCTTACCTACCAATTATGTTTTTAAGGAAACAAAATATTCTGGTGCGGGAAAATATATGGGGGATGTTTCAAAGATGGCAACAATAAGGACCATATATGAATATGATCATAAAATGTGCTATTAGTTCTCCATGTGGTAAACATTTTACTTTTTAAAAACTGTTTCTTATAAGCTCACCTGAATGTGACAAGGAAACTTTCAGAAGCTGTTAAATGCATGTGTGCATATTCTGAATGAGTGACTTGGAGAAAGAGTCAGAAAAGGTGTCTTGACTTTATCTGAGAATAAGGGAAGATGCTGGAAGCTAGAAGATGTCTCTGCAGCTGTAGCTCCAAGCCGGTCCATATAGTCCATTATGCAATTTCAGCATCTCTGCAGCATGGCAGCTTTCTAAGGAAATGTACAGAGAGCATCAGATGCACAATGTGCAGGCAGAGGGAGGGAGACACGTTGAGCTGATGTGCCATAACAAATGCCTGCAAACACAGCAGAAACATGTTAGACATGTTGGCTTCCACTTCTGAGTCATAGAGGGAAATACAATCACATGTTCAATTACAAAGCAGAACAACATCAGAAAAACAATAATGTTCAAAATTACTGAATAAAATAAACACTAAGTGTTTATGTGGGATACATTCGAGGAGATATAAGAGTACTTACCTTTGAGCAACAGGGTCTGTCTGTGCCAAATGGAAGATGTTGACACTTGAATGTCCATAGCCCATGCCCTGCAAACCATAACCTATTTGAAATACATGAGAAAACAACCTGAAAATTATCAGGATCAGTAAGTGTTAAAGACCTGGTACATTGCTGTACCAGGAATTCCTCCCTGACTTAGTGGCAATTTTCTGTGATGCAAGTAATTTGAGACTGTATGTGTATAAATGATAGACATGATGCACCTACGCCAAGAGGCTGCTGCTTAGTTGCAACAAAACAGCCTACAAGATAACACACCTGCAAGAATAGCTCTGTGTAAGTATAATAACCAATGCACGTCTGAAATAAGAATCCTAAGATCAGTCAATCACTCCAATGCACATTGCCATAATGCAATTTTCTGTTGTAAACTAAACTCCAAAGTTCTGGGAGACCTTAAAAGATTTCACAGCTTGCTTGTTGTATTCTTCAAATAGTGAAAATCTTTATGTTGGTTATAATGCTCACTGAAGAGAACTTTTAAGTATTTTCTAAATAATACTTACAACCTCTGGACCTGCCAAGAGTTCAATAAACTGCCAAGAGTTATGTGAAGAAAAAAACCCCCAAAACTCTAGATATTAATTTCAGCATTTATTACACTAGAATCAAGTCAAGTTAAACTATTTAAGACGTTGCACAAGAAATAGATTCCGTCATAATAAGTACATCAATTTCACTATCTGATACACTAACACTTCATAGTCATACATTTATTATTAGTAGTGTAATCACCTCACTAAATTACAGAATGTGCTAGATGGCAAGCTGATGAAAAGACGACAAGTCAAGATAAAGTTTGTACAAAGCATATTAATGAAATCATCATTGCTCATATCATCACAAAAGTAACATTTACCTCTGTTAAGTTTGAATCTGTTTTATAGTTAAAATTTAAATTATGGTTATATGTGGAATTTTGTACTTTAACCATGTGCCATCTTAATTTTTTTTTTAACAATTCAAGGGAAAATAAGCCCTTATGGAATACAGCAGTGGGAATTTTGTAAAATTTTGGATTTGATATCTAAGATAAGAATATCATTTGACTTCATTCTCATAAAACACAGTAAAATCAAACAACTTCATAACTCTTAATGTACATAGTAAAGCAAGTTTAAAAATACTCTAACCTAAACCTTGCTGGAGTCTTATTTTGATCATAAAATCCCTTCAAACTGACATTTTCCAGTTCTCACTAATCTAAGTGTCTTGTGAGTGGCAGATAAGTTTTTAATATGTGAGGTGGGGATCATATAGAAATTTTATTTTAAAACAGAAAATGAAAGCCATTTCAGAATGGCTTTCATTTTTAACCTTTTAGACCAATGTAATGTAAGTATTCTTCATATATTACCTATAGTTTTTGACAGTATTTGTGACTTCCTACAATAAAACCTGTGAGAAGAACTACAACAACTGTAAAGCAAGTGACCTTTCTCTGTGTTACATACACTGCTTTCATTATAGGGAAACACAAGAGCTAGAATTTGGAATTAGAAATTGTCATTTTTGTTGCCTCTATTTGGCATTTTCAAGGCTATGTCTGCATAGCCTTGTGATGATGCATCCCCACTTCTGCCAGTTCTGCTCGAGCAATGGCCACCAGTGATGGTCATGGTGCATCTGACTGATAGATGCAATAGTTCAGGGCCATAACTCTTGCTTAGCAGCCAAGGGTCATAATATTCACTAGACACTGAATGTCTCTACAGTCTAAACAAATTATTACAATCAAGTGCAATTGCTATATAAGTACTTCTAAAACTTGTAAGCAATCTAAGTTATGCCATTTCAGTTAAGGATCTTCAGTAACACAACATCTCAGTAGAAGGACTCATTTATACCTCTTCCCTGGTGTTAAATGCTCATCTTGCACTCACAATTTGATGTCAAGTGTTCTTTTTTCTTAGCTAGGATGATGTGGTCAGGGCACTATGACAGTAAATACAATACATGTGTATCTTTTAATTCCCAGCTGATTCAAACAGAAGAATACTCTCCCTTGAGTGTAGCTACTTTTACATATACATTATATGAATTTTGAAGATACATATAAACAGACATTATTTTAGTGTCATTTTGGTTTTGATTCTGCTTATCCATAATTTGTCTAACCAAAGAAATCACAGTTTGTGTGCTTTAAGTGTGACTCCCCATATTCCCTGCTTATACAAACAGACTGCAGAAAAGAAGATTCTCTACAGCCTCTCCCTTCATTGCCTCTGGCCAATTACATGAGCTAACTGTTGCCCAGAAACAAGACACACTGGCTGCTATTGTACAGCTCTGTGAAGTCATCCATCTCTAGCACCATCTTGTGGTCTCCTGTAAACTGCTATCCACATTTCATTACACCATCAAGTTATAAAAAGTTCTCATTTAACTGAAAACAAAAAATATATTTATTTTTTCAAACATCGTTATTAATTATCAGGTTACACAGTGCCTAGATCTCCTGTGTGTGGAATGACTAAAGGCTGCAGATTAGCAGGTCAAGGAAGAAAACTTTTCCCTTCCATTCAGCATTTTCAAGGCTATGTCTGCATGTGATGGTGTGTCTCCACTCCCCCATTTCTTCTCGAGCAATGGCCACCAGTGATGTCTGTGGTGCATCTGACTGATAGATGCAATAGTTCAGGGCCATAACTCTTGCTCAGCAGCCAAGGGCCATAATTCTTGTTCAGCAAGGCAAGGGCTGTTTGAGCACATGCCAACCCCTAGTACAGCTGTAAGTCAACCATCCTCCTCCACAAACAAAGGACAGCCCAGGGCCCCCTGATCTCTCCCATGGGACAGCAGGCTGCAGCCAGGATCTCCCCTTGAGCAGGGGCGCCTCTCAAGGTTACTCCTCAAGGCTGAGAGATTCCTTGTTGTAACTGATCCCTAATAAGTGATCAATAGGATCCTATACTTTGAAATCCTACCTAAGTGATGTAAAGGATTGATTGTACCCATGTCATCATTCAGACATGGACCAAGTCTGGGACTCAGTCTGGATGAAGCTGCATGTGAGCTTCCCTCATGAAAAAAGTTTAGAAAGCAACAGGATCCTTTCCAAACCTCTGAGTCAACAGCAGGATCTCCGATAGTTCTGCCCTTTATGCAGTAAACACTGAAGAGCTCCTTGCCATCACTTTTGATTTAAGAACTCTCACATTCACTATGAAACTTCGGTAAATCACTGGTTTAGACCAAAAAACACATTGCTGCATCTCTGTTACAAGTGCAGCACATCAATCCATCCATGACACAGTACTGTGTTCAGTTTTGGGCTTTCCAACACATACTGGAGCAAGGCTGAGCAGAGGCAAGAGAAAGTAAGGAGGATGGAGCACCTGAGGAGAAAGAGCTAGGACAGCAGTTTTTGTTTACACTGGAGACTAGAAGGAAATTCTTCACCTACCTGCAGGGGGATTGCAGAGAAGATGGAACAAAACTTTCCTTAGAGGTGCATATCCAAAGATGAGTAGGCAGAAGTAACAAGTTATGAATTTTCACTACCTGTAAAGAAAAAGAACAACACAGATGATACAGGAATTGGAGTAGGTTTTGTGATTACAAAGTATTCATCTTCTAAATTTTTCTAGATTCTGTAGACCAGGGCTCTGTGCAACCTCACCTAATGCTGAAGGTAAGTCTCTTTGAACAGGTGGTTTGACAAAATGCCTCCGGCAGCACTTTCTAGCATAAAGTATCTTGTGATCCTATGATTCAAAGGAAGCTTCTGTGTCTTGGAACTCACAGAGCATTTAATCCAAAGAGCAAAAGAATTCAATAGAGCCTACACAAACACACAGATGAACAATATAAAAGAAAAAATTAAATCCTGTTGATTTCATCTCAAGCCACAATGTTTTCAGGATTACATACAGGCTTGAGGCCAAGAGAAAATACATCCAGAGTCAGAAAACATGCCACCACAAGTGAAAGATTGCCTCTTGATCTCCAGAAAAGTCAAATAAAAACACGTAGGCCATTTCAAAGCAGAAAATTGTATAAGGAGAACAAGGGGTCATTTGGAAGATAAAAAATAATTGCAACATGATTAACAGGAATATTTAAAAGTTAGTGTCATTTTAACTGATTGTTTCTTACATAATTCTTGCAATAATTACCTTATTCATTTGAATGATCTCAGTAAGAGCATTTCACTAGAATGAACTCAAGTCTGCTGTGTAAGGATCTACTCCATTCTCCACCCCAACAGTGAAAATAATGAATAAACTATGATTTTGTTAAAGAAGTCAGAATATACATTGGGTATTATAACATAAAGATCAGATAGACCTAGCTGCAAGTGTTGCCTAAATTTCACAAACTGCAAAAAATTACTATCAGAAAAATTATGTTCCTGCAATTAATGTATTTTTCTCTTATATGTATTGAAGTTGGGGCCATCATATAGGCATGATCTTTTCTTAAACATTAAGATTATCTTTTTGGGCACTATAACAGCAAACCTGACATTTTCAGTACTTTATCATAAAAATATTTACAGAGAGAAATCCACAAGATTTTCAGTGTCCTGATGAAGTTGTTTGTGTCAAGCCTGGTGTCAAAGCAGGTAATAGAAGCAATTAGCAGACATTTTGATGGAAGAAATAAAATTGTTGGTTAATACATCTCTCCTGCTAGTTTATTGACAAAGGGATTCTCATGTGTTTTATAGGGACCAAATATAAGAAATACACAAATAATGGGGCAAGGAAGTCTAGAAAAAGGACTGAAATTTGAGAGAAAATACATTGAAGAATTTTTTCCTGATATCTAATCAAAACCTACTGGTTTTCAATTTGAAGCTATTGCCCCTTGTCCTGTCACTATATGTTCTTACCAAAAAAAAAAAAAAAAAAAAAGTCTCCCTGATGGTGCACCTTTTCCTGGCTGAACAAACTCAATTCTCTCAGCTTCCTCACAGGAGAGGTGCTCCAGATCTCTATCATTTTGGTGGCCTCCTCTGGACTCACTCCAGCAGTTCCATGTCCTTCCTGTGCTGGGCCCCCAGAGCTGAGAGCCTTCTGGAAAACATCCCATGTTTCAGGTGCACCAACCATATCACTGATCTTGGTGTCATCTGCAAATTTGCTGAGGGTGCATTCAATCCGTTTGTCTATGTCATAATGAAAATATTAAATAACACTGGTCCCCATATGGACTTCTGAGGCACACCACTCAGCTCCCTAACTCTCATTGTATTAATACATATTGAGTATGTATTGTGCTCCAAACATACTGATCAGGTGAAAATCCATACCTACTCTGCATGCTAGAATTGTAAAAAAGCAGGAAGGGTTAAAGATGTGATATAGTAAACAGTGACATAGCCTGCATTGGTAGAGCTTGCAATAACACTCACAGTTCCTTAGTCTGTTTTGAATCAATTTCATAAAATAAAGGTAGATACAAAGTTCATTGTGTACATTTTAAATAAACTACAGACAGAAAAATTACTTAGCAAATACCAGGCAAATCCATAATTCTAATTTATTTTGTAGATTCCTGCACACATTGCTCTGGCCTTTTGCTAATGCAGAATTGAAGCTTCATGGTATGTCTGACATCCATGTGCATTCTCACAGCTAAACAGTAAGATTCTAACAGGTTTTCCACATCTATCAGAGAATAAATACTTTAGAGGATGAATTCCAAAGCAAAGCAAAGCAAAGTGTCTGGTGAATGTGTCAATCAGGATTGATTTTGACATTTCAGTTGACTTTTCAAAGCTGAAATAAAGTAATTTTGTATGTTTTTGTTCTAATGAAATATAACAAGTCACTGGCAATAAGCTAGAAAGAACTTCAACCCCAAATATTTTTTGGAAATTAGTTTTAATAGATGAGGCGATTGATAATATTTAGGTATATGTGTACTGTATAAAACTCAATACATTTAGAAGGTTTTCACTATGGACACAGATAAAATGTTTGCCAGCATTGTGTTACAGAGTTTCATATATGATCTTAATTGTAAAAAACAAAAAGAAGTTTACAATTAGAAATTTTATCTACCTTTACTGTAATGCAGAAATTGTAATTGATAGAAATTCAGACCCCAAAGAATTGGTGAGTTTAACAGCAGGTTCATGCATGATAGAAGGCAACTAAAATTTGCTATCAAATTAGTAGTTGTCAGTCTTTTAATTGTAATCTACTTAGGCGAACCCTATTGAAGTAAACCTGATCTTCCCTTTTTAAATGCAGCTTTTTTTTTCCTTCAGAGAAACAGAGAAAAATTATCTGCTGCAAACCCTTGTCACAAGCCTTCATTAAGCTATTTGTTATATTTAAGAAAATTTCTTCAATTTAACTTAATGTGACTGTGAAATATATACAAGAAATGCTGGAAATTTACATTTATTTTTATTTAAAAGCTGAGATACATTTTTAAGGGACTCATTACAAACATTTGGAGTAACAAGTCACAAATAAACATGTCAGTGAGCAGCAAGGGTTGCATTTTTGGCAAGGGAAAGTGCTTTAGCCTTAAATAAAAGCAGTCAACCACTCAGTGAGGGG